AGTTTAACAGAGCCCAAAGAACTGCGAAAGCTTCCTTCTCCCACACTGCCCACCTTTTCTCATAGTCGGTGAACTTTTTTGAGATATAGGCACAGGGCTGTGGGACTCCCTCTTGGTTCTTTTGCAATAGTAAGGCTCCGATGGCCACGTCGCTGGTATCGGCTTGAATCACAAAGGGTTTCCCCAGACAAGAATGCTTTAGAAATGGCTTGACCGCAAATAGTCTTTTCAAATTCTCAAAAGCAGTTTGACAGTTCATAGTCCATGGCTTGGTCAGAGCTTTCCCCCATCTTTACCTGTTTTCAACAAGTACATGACGGGTAAAGCAATTTTGGCAAATGAGGGGATGAATTGTCGGTAAAAGTTGGTGAACCCCAGAAAGCTCTGAAGCTGTTTGCAAGTCTTTGGGAGTTGCCATTCAATTACAGCTTTTACTTTAGCAGGATTTATTTCAATGCTCTCACTGGAAATTCTGTAGGCTAGATAATCCAGTCAGGTCCAATGGAACTCACACTTTGATAGTTTAAGATACAGTTTGGCATTTAACATTTCTTCAACGCTTCTCGCACTAGTTTTCCGTGGTCACCATATTTGTGCTGTATATCAGGATATCATCAAGATACAACAAAACTCCTTTGTATAAATGATTATGTAGCACCTGGTTGCTCTAGCATGAAGACAGCTAGAGCCCCCTGTAGTCCAAACAGCATGACTTTAAATTGATAGCTCCCCATGGGACAGTTAAAAGCAGTTTTCCATTCATTTCCTTCTCTTATTCTTTCTTGGTAATATGCCTCTCTTAGGACCAATTTAGTAAAGATGCTCCCTTTCGCCAGGTGGGTCAGTAGGTGGGTCAGTGGGTTCTTCAAGAGGGGGAGGGGATACTTGTTTTCTATGCTCACAATGTTTAACCCTTTATAGTCTACACAGAGATGAAGCAACCTGTCTTTTTTCTCTTTAAATAATACTGGAGCTCCCATCTGAGATTTGGCCAGTTCAATAAATCCTCTTGCTAGGTTCTTGTTCACATACTGTTGCAGTTCCTCCATTTTGAGGGGGGTCATGGTGTACATCCTCGGCCGTGGGAGTTTAGCTCCCAGTAACAGCTCAATGGTGCAATCATTGGGCGGATGGGGAGGCAGGATGTCACATTCTTTCTCACTAAACACCTCCGCTAGACCCCGGTATTCGCTGGGGATGAGTGGCTCACCTGGTTGAGACAGGGTAGCTATCTTTGCTAACTCGGAAGATGGCCTAGACTCTCCAGTAACATCAGCCGAATTAAGGGGGGATTAATCTCCTTTTCCCACCAAATAAACTATTTCCATTGTCCAACCAGGCTAGCCCTAGAATCACAGCCTCAGTCATCTTCGGAGCCACCATGAAGCAAATGAACTCCCAATGTTCACCTATTTCTAAGTGTATCAGCTCTGTCAATTATGTGACCAAAGTTCCTCCCATCAAAGAGCCATCGGCTTGCTCAAATCTCACAGCTTTGGAGAGCAATCTTGCTCATATACCCATTTGAAGGGCAAGTGACAAGCTAATAATGCACTGGGAGCACCTCGAGTCCACTAGCACTTTTAAATGTACTCATGCACCCATCTTAGGGACTATGAGTTTGGCAATGAGAGAAAAAGGTGGAATGGGTCGACTCACCATTGGGTCATTCTCCCCTTCGTCGTCGCTGTCATAGGAGGGCACAGCAGTGGCAGATCCAGCTTTGGACTCAGCACTCTCCTGCATGGGTGACGTGACTTGGGTGATGGGTTCTTGTATGATCCAGTTTGACTTCTCTTTCACCAGCTGCGGTGTTGGTTTCTTCTTCACCGGTAGTTCCGGTCTGCTTTGCTGTTGAGGATATGAGACCGGGCAACTCGCTGCTCACTGTCCTTGTTGCCCACACCTGAAGCACTTGATTGGTGGACCAGCAGGTGGTTTGGGGGGCTCTGTGGCTGTGATGGCTGGAGACATTCGGGGGGAAGGGTAGTCATCTGGTCTGTTCTGGTTTCTGCCCGGCTTCCTGAGGTAGTGGCTTTTTATAAAGAGCAAGCTCGACATCCAATCTTACTGCTGCCTGGTACCACTCCTGTAATAGGTTAAGGACAGCTCGATAAACACAGGCCTGGGAAAGGTGATCATCTAGCTCCTCCTTGAAGTGGTGTACTAGGGACTGTTCAGGCCACATTTCTATTTGACCTGCTACATTATAAAATTCTTGTACATATTCCAAAGCAGGTCTGCCATCTTGTTTTAGCTTATGAATTTGTTTCTCTGCTTTGAGGGCTATGGATGGGTCTTCACACCTGGCTCTTAATCCAAGGAGGAAGAGATGGAGGTTCCCCAGCTCAGGTGCTTGCTCATTGTACAAATTGTTTAGCCATTCAGATGCTTCCCCTTCCAAATTGTCTGCAATCACATTGACTGTAGCAGCTGGATTTGGGTAGAAATTGGCATTGCGATTTATGTGGGAACATACTTGATTGATGAAGAAGATCAGCTTCTCCAGGTCACTGTCAAAAGTTGCTCTAAGGGGTGGCGCCATCATGGGCTGCTGTTCCCTCTAGCGTGGCTGCATTCCCAGCAGTTGCTGGCTTCCCTGCTGTGGCTGTTGCACCCCCAGTGGTGGTGGCTGCTGACCTCCCAGCAGTGGTGGCAGCGGCATCCCTAGTTGCTGCAGGCCCCCTAATAGTTGTTGCATATTTAGGGGTTGTTGCCATCCCCACTGCTGCTGCACTCTCAATGGCTGCTGACCTCCTGGCGGCGGCTGTGGCAGTTGCTGCAGGCCTCCCAGTTGCTGCAGCGGTGGTTGCTGCAGCATTCCCAGTTGCTGCAGGTCCCCCAGTGGTTGCTGCAGATTCAGGGGCTGCTGCCAACCCCACTGCTGCTGCGATCCCACCTGTAGCTGACCTCCCGCTGGCGGCTGCAGTTTCCCCAGTTGATGCAGGCCTCCCAGCAGTTGTTGAACATTCAGGGGCTGATGCCAGCCTCACTGCTGCAGCACTCCCACCTGTTGTTGACCTCCCAGCAGCAGTGGCTGTGGCATCCCCAATTGCTGCAGGGGCCCAAACGACTGCAGCACTCCCACCTGTTGCTAGCCTCCCAGCAGCAGTGGCTGTGGTATTCCCAATTGCTGCAGGGGCCCCAACAGCTGAAGCTCTCCCACCTGTTGCTGCCCAGCCAACAGTTGTTGCATTATATCATGTTGAATGTTCACATCTGAGTGTTTCCCCTGCATATGCCTCGGGCTCAGGTGGTGCCGATGGTGATGCACCAGGCTGTGTGACCAATAGTAGTGATGGTCAGGGCTTTCACGGTACCTGTGGCGATCTGGACTTCAGCAGCCCCAATGGTGGCTTGGGCTCTTGTGTTGTGAGCGGCACTCTGGAGCTCTGGAAGAATGACAACACCTTGGTCTGTCGTGTTCAGAGTGCAGGGTTGGAGGTTAATGTTGGTGGCTTCGAGAAGGGGGAAGCCGCTTGTGTTCCATAGGTGGGGCTGGGGTTTAAAGGCATGGATTGGCATCTGCTCCGCCAATCATCGTGATCACTTGCATGAAAAGAATGAGAGGGTTGCTCCCCATTCATCTCTAGCCCCTCAAACTTCTCTACCAACTTCTCTACCAATTGGCTAAGGACTGCAGACAGATACGTCTACTCTCCACAGTCCTCAGTAATTGCTGATTTCCTGATTCTCCAGTGGTCCGGGGAACACGACTCCTGAGAGGTTCCTTCTTGCAAATCAACTTTGGTCACTTTCGAAGAACTTGCTTTTGACAGGGTCGCCTTGAGGTGCTTGGAGTCTCCACTGGGCAGGGTCCACTCCGATGATCAGATCAGATCCTGTGTTTTGGGTCTTGCCCCCAGCAGTAAGGCCTGAGAAGATTCCTTCTCCACTGGTGCACTGGCTTACGCTCTCTCCACTAAGACGGCAGCTATGGCCAGGGTGTTGGTTTCAGGCACTTCTCCCTTCTCCATGTTGAGATCTTCTCTGAATCTTTGTCAGTCTATTACTCAACTTAGCGACAGGGACATCTAATGTTAGCAGCATTGACATCGGGCAACTAAGATGATCAAAGGCCTGGAGACTAAAGAACAGATGTAGGATTTGAGTTTGACTAATCTAGAGAAAAGAAGAACTAGGGGTGATATGATAGCACTGTTTCAATATCTGAGGGGCTGCCACAAAGAGGAGGGGGTCAATTTATTTTCCAAAGCACCAGAGAGCAAGACAAGAAACATTGGTTGGAAACTAATCAAGGAGAGAAGCATTAAGAATTGGAATTAAGGCCTAACAGTGAGAATAATTAACCAGTGGAACAGCTTGCCTTCAGAGATCATAGGCACTTCATCGCTGGAAGATTTTTTTAGAAGAGACTGGACAGCCACTTGTCTGAAATGATATAGGACCTCCTACTTGAGAGAGGGTTGGACTAGAAACCTCCAAGATGCTATTCTATTCTATTCTATTCTATTCTATTCTGTTCTGTTCTGTTCTGTTCTGTTCTGTTCTGTTCTGCTCTGCTCTGTTCTATGATCTAAAGAGCTTTGATGATCCTCTGGAGGTCTGTTGGTATGTCACTGTTCTAATAACCCCCAGCCACATGACAAAAATGAAACAAGAGATTTTTATATCCCTTGTCATTGAAATATGAAGTCAACTCTTGATGTTTTGGGATGAGAGAGGGGGAAATACTTCTCCTTCCCACCCCTCCCTTTTTTTTATTTTCTAATAGGCAAAAATGCAAAAATAACTAAGAATGGAAAGGTCCTCCCTTATCTATAGACATGTTTATACTTCCTGAAAACGTTGAGAATGAATGAAATAGTGATAAATTATTGCAACACTTAATAAAAGGTGAAAAATAATTAAATAAGGGGGATGGGATACAAACCACCAATCAAACTCTGTTTTTATGTCCCTCCTCTTCAGATAATAGTTAACTTGGATTTAAAGATTAATAGATTCACATGAAAGTGTATAAATGGCCCACTGTAGAGAGTTCAGGATTAGCTGCATGGGAATGCTGAGTAGTGTTCCCTTCCATCTCTAATAGCAGCAGGCTCTTCTTTACAATCCTAAGGCATCATGACTTACCCAGGCTTCAGCTGTCAGCTACTGCTCTTATTTCTTGGGCCTGGCTTCAGTTTGGGTGCTGCTCTCCATTTAGTGCATTGTGCCCCTTGTACTGAAGAAAAGCTCAGGCTGTGCCCACCACTGTCTGCCAGCTGCCCAGAAATATCCCGCCAACCAGGCTGCAGTTGCTGTCATAGCTGTGCCCTTCAGCTGGGGGAGCCTTGTGGAATATACACAGCACGGTGTAGCTGGGGGCTTAGTTGCCAGGTACAGGTATATCAAGCTCGACCCCTTTATGTTCTCACTCAGGGGCAAGGCTCTTGCCTCCCCATTGCTGATAGGACAGAAACTGCAGGTAAGAAAGATATCTTTCTGTACCTTTTTTTACTCATACTCAGAATATTGGCTGAGGCTGATGACTGGTAGAAAAAATAACCGTGATTAGAGTGATCTAGTGCAAAGAATGAAATGTTAACTTATTTAAGTATGATTGAAATTGAGAGATGATCTAACCGTCTGGTTAGTTTATGGGGGGGGGGTTTCAAAAACAAACATTGGGAGGTAGAGACTATGTGAGAAAACATAGTTCAGAGTTTGCTATCCAATATCTGGCACTGAAGAATTGGTTCAGAGACTATAGGAATCAGATAATGGCCTTTTCAAAATAAGTTCACTCCTAAAATCAATAGCAGTTTCCTAGTTTGAGCGGAGGATCAAGAAAGATAATAGGATGAGGCTGACTGCCATGACTGTAAGAAAACTTTTAACAGTAAAAGGGAGGTTGCTTTGTTATCCATCTCCCAAAGATGGGAGAAGGCAACAACTTCTCAAAAGTTTTGAGTACGAAGTATTTGTGTAAACATGTTTCGTTTTAAGAGATCATTTAGAAACTACCATCTCCCTTACATAGGGAAATGTTAGTACTGCTAAACTAAATAGAAATGGAATAATATTTTTATAAAATGCTCCAACCCATTGATCCCCCTCTTAGTTATTTATGGTCTCATATACAGTGATTGAAAAGTTATTTAGTAAAGTTTCATCCATTTTGATTTAGAGATTAAATAGTAGAAACCCCAAGTCTGCAGATACAAATAAGATACTGTACATTTAGTCTCACCACCTCTGTAATATCTGATCACCAGTTACATGCATGTTATATTTTCAGCCCTTATTAATGCATTTAACTGTTGACATTTGTTAAAGAGACCATGCCTAAACTGAATTTTCAGCAAACTGAAACAACGGAAGGAACTATTTCTGCAGTTACTAGAAACTTTCCTTCAACTCTCATTCTTAAAAACATATCTGTTATCATTTGCACTTTTTTAAAAAAAATGCTGAACCTTCTATAAAAAAAAATCAGATGGTAGTATTTTGAAAAGCAGGTTGAGTGAGCTTCAAATTAACCAAATTCAACATCAACATAATCCATATATTGTGACAAGAAAAACTAAGTTTATAACTGCACCCCTTGTACAGACTTTTCATTATATTTAACTGTGGAATTTTAATTCTGCAAAGAGATATAAATGTGCTTCTTCCTGCAATGAGCCTCTCATTTTGCTCTCATAGCAGTGCTGTGAGGTAGATTAGGATAGGAGGGAAGAATTGACTAAAGGACACTGAACATCCAAATTCAGGAACTCTCTAATTTTAACTTAAACCTTTAGGCTGAATGTATTATTAATTTTAATCTATGCTATTCTGATTTTGGATAATCATAAGGGAAATGTTTCATAGTAAAAAGTGTAAAATGCTTGACTTGAAATGTTGAAAATGTATGCAGTTGAATGCATGCAGAAAATTATCTGATAGGTAGGCAAGATCTCTGCATTTTATTGGCCTCTAGATGTTCTCGGAAAATTCCCCAAAATTTCAATGGCAGGCTATCTCAGGAATTTATAGTTTTCATCTTTTGCCAATGCACAGGTTTAAAAAGTATAAGGCTAAATTTTTTTTAAGAAAGTGTGAAAAACAAAACAAAATTAATTTAGGCTAGGAATCTCCAATATTTTTAGACATGGGCACATCTGTATTTTTTAGAGTATATTGTAATAGTTTTCTTAAACTATTACATGTTATGGGTTGTTCTGGGAACATAAAAAATCTTCCATGGTGATGGGCTTGGCAATGACAAAATGGCTGACTTAGTGGACATAGCCAGTCACAAAATAGCCAAGCACTCAAAAACAAACTGCTGAGGTTATTCCATACCACCTCTTTTTATTTCTTAGGATGTTTTCATTTCAGCTGATCTTTGATTTTTTTTGCTGAGTAGATGAGAATACTTCAAAACTAACTACTGGGCTACAGTCTCCTGCATTTAGCCATGACTATCTATGGGGAAATATTTGGAAACTAAAGACATTTTTGAAAATGCTGAAAAATTATGTTGCATACTGAGTTCTCATTTCTTATTTTTTTAAAATGAAAAGAATCTCTTAAAATTACAGTAAAATTAAAGTCAATAATAAAATAATAAAATAAACCTGCCAGGCACTAGTGAAGGTGTTTGAATCCATCTTGATGCCTGTGGGATTTTGTTGGGAATTTTTGTTTTATTGATTTTATTGTAATGTCTGTGTAACTTTAGTGAATTTCCTGGAGTTTTTAAGATTTGTGCAGCCTATAAGCTTAAATATATAATGGCTGTTTGTGCAATCAACTCTTTAGACTGAACTTGACATTTTTATCCATCTACTAAATCTTTCCCAAGAACCAGCAAACGTTTGAGTTTGAATTTGCTTCAGATTATTTGATAGTGTTAAAGGTATTATCACAGGATGTAATCTCTTCCAAGTAAAATAGCCTTTTGCAACTCACAGGTGGTGATTTTGTCAATATGTTCAAGTGGTGTTTTAGATGTTTTGGGATTGCACCTGAAGCACCCATCAGTACTGGTACTCGCTTTGCTTTCTTTTTACAGTCATTCTATTTCTATTTGCAGGTGTTCATATTCTATTATCTTTTCTAGCTCTTTTTCTTTCCACTGTTTCCAGGCACTGCCACATCTATTATCCAGACTTTTTTCTTTGTCTTTCTTAATAATAATTGTTAATTATTGTTATGGTTTATTGCATAGTCAGCCAGATGTTTAGACAGGTTTGGCATTTTTATACCCCTGTCAAGTCCTCCCCCAGGCCCTGGGATAGTGAGATGTTGATATTTGATAGTATTAAAAGTATTGTTACTGGATGTAAACTGTACTAAGTAAAGCCGCCTTTTACAATTGAGTGATGGAGATTTTGTTAATGGCAATATTCAAATGGTGCCCCAGTTGTTTTAGGATTGTACCCAAAGCCCTATGACTATTGGTACTACCTTTGCTTTTTTTTTGCCAAGGTTATTCTATTTCTGTTTGAAGGTCTTTGTATTTTCTGTTTTTTTCCTTCTTTCTCAAAGTTTAATTCTTTTATATATTTATTTTATGTATTTTATATATTTGTTTTCTGAGGTTTTCACGGGTGTTTGTATGTAGGTCTCAGGTTTTCTCCCACGTCAAATTGGAAGTGTCTTGGCAATGTTTCGATATTGAAATGTTGAAACATCACCAAGACACTTCCAATTTGACGCGGGAGAAAACCCGAATATATATATATATATATATATATATATATATATATATATATATATATATGATTTTATTACTTTTTTCCATACATACAATAATAATTTTTCAACCAATCTGTTGTCTGAGTTTAGATTCGCTAATACATATTTAATTCCTAATCCTTTATTCTTTCCTTTAGCCATTGGTAAAATATGTTCCAAGTTTGATAATATTCTGTTTCTTCTTTTTCTTTCAGTCTCATAGTCAATCTATCCATCTCTGCGCATTATAGTATTTTTTAAATTATTTCTTCATCTGATAGTATTCCTTCGTTTTTCCAATATTGTGCAAATATTATTCTTGCCGCTGTTGTGACGTGCAAAATATAAGTTTTGTTTGATAGTCTTTTCTGGCATTATACCTAATAAAAAAAGTTCAGGTTTAAAATCTACATGTTCTCCCAACATCTCTTCTAACCTAGTATGTATCTTTTTCCAATAATTCTTTACTTTATTACATGTCCACCAAATATAATACATGCCTAAATTATGTTTACATTTCCAACATCTATCTGACATATTTTTAAATATTTTTGCTAATCTTGCTGGTAGCAAGTGCTATCTATAAAACATTTTATATGAATTTTCTTTATAAGAAGTTGACATTGTCAGTTTATAATTTCTTTCCCATAAATTTTACCATTTTTCTAATTCTATATTATATCCATTTTTTTTTGCCTATCTTATCATTGTTTCTTTAACTTGTTCGCTTTCCATTTCCAAAGTTAATAAAAAATTATACATTTTCTTAATTAATTTCTCATCTGAAGTTAACAAAGTCTTATCAAATGTCGTTTGTTCTTTACAAAATCCATACAGTTTAACATATTTTTCATATCTAGTTTGCATTTGTAAGTGTGCCCACCATGACAAGCTGATGCCCTAGTTTTCCATTTCTTGTTTAGATTTTAAATTCCCTTCAGAATTTAGAATATCACTATATGTCCAGATTTTTTCAAAGTCCACCAAATTTGGTTGTACAAATGCTTCCATACTTGATAACCACCCTGGAATTTTCAAATATATTTTACTTCCCCCCCCCCATATTATTAATAATGCATTTCTTATATAATGGTTTTGGAAATATTTATGAATTTTATTTTTCCCATATCATAAAAAGGCGTGCCACCCCAATTGTAAATCATGCCCCTCCAGGTATAACAACCTTTTATTTCTAAGAGTTATCCATTCTTTTAACCATGTTAATACAGATAGTACAAAACCCACTCTGGTAAACCAAATCCTCCATTTTCCTTAGCATCTTGTAACGTTTTCATTTTAATTCTAGCTTTCTTTCCTTGCCAAACAAATTTCAAAATGAGTGAATTTAAATCTTGAAAAAAAATGTCTCAAGTTTTATGGGTATTGTTTGAAATAAAAATAAGATTTTTGACAATACATTCATTTTCACTGTAGCAATTCTTCCTAATATTGACAATTGCAAATTTTTCCATTTTTCCAAATTCAGTTTTATTTGATTGAATAATTTTGTATAATTATCTTCTTTTATCGTTGAACATCTTGCTGTTAAATGTACACCCAAATATTTTTAACTATCTATAATTCTGTTTTTTTCTGACATTTGTTTTTTTTTGTTTATCTGTAAGATTTTTAACTATTACTTTAGTTTTTTCTCTGTTTATTTTCAGTCCTGCCATTTCTCCATATTGTTCTATCTTTCCTAGTAATTTAGGAATCATCTCCAAAGGTTCTTCTAAGATATATACCAAATCATCAGCAAAT